TATTTGGATGTACTCCGTCAAAATTATACAGTTGAAATCAACCTCTGAAGTTGATTTATTCTGGAAGAGCATTTTTTTATTGTAGCATTTATGTGATGAAACGAAAAACAATTTTTTCTAGCTGAAGCTTAATAACTGAAAATCGTGTTATAATGTAAAATTCTCATGTTATTTATTGATATATATATTTTATATTCTCCCATGCAAAAGATTTTTACACCAGCCGGATGTGGCCAATGGTCAAACTATCTGCATTTTTTACAAATCTGTTGAATATAAAAGCTTTCACGCCATTTTGTAGCATTCAAAACAACGGCTTTCGGATACTCCTTTCTCAGTACTTCCTTGACTTTCAGGCATTTTTAAACTCTCAGAGCTAGCATTGCAGACTTCTCTGAATTGTCTTCTACGCTGTTCTTTGTTTTTCTCGGAATAATGAACCATATTTATACTATTCGTTTATTTATCAACCCCCTGCAAAACAGGAGGTGTCTACCGTTAGGTTATCAGAGCCCCTTCTCCTTTCGCCCAACTGCACTGAGACCTACAAAATCCTACTTGCTTAAAAGAAGTTTTTCGTAAAGTTTGACTATTATTTTTCTTAGAGAGCATGCGTTTTGAAAATGTCGTTACTGTGAACACCTTAAATTTAGTGGTGGCATAGTGTCAGAGTTGTAAAGAGGTCGATTTCGAACTCAAAAATGTGCCGGATTCGAAAGCACAGAAAGGATGCGATTTGTATTACTCGCAAGTTCTCTTGATCAAGGAGTTTATTCCATGTTGCTTCGATGCAGCCAGCTTAAAAATGGGTATTGAATCGTTGACTTGAGCAAATAACACGGGCAGTGCGGTCTTCTAGTGTGGTATTATTATAAATGGCGAGGAGCACGGGTTTGTTAACGTTTTTCATGGTTGCACACCATTTTTATCGATATGATAGCTAAATATCCAGTATAATAATGAGCACAAAGTCAAGCCCCGAAAATGCCTACATGATTGATTTAACAAGCTTTATGTACGCTTCCGGGACTTGATAGTATATATTGAGTAGTAACTTGACTTAACCTGCAAGTCTGGATTTGAAATTTACAGATTTACACGGTTGGCGTGGTGTTGTGTGTGATGTTCTGTGCAAATGGATTTGTGGAGTGTGTCGTAAAATGATACTGATGACAATGATAGCTCGCTTGGCCGATGGCCTGCCG